ACGTGATTTCAAGCTATGTAAATTGAGGCTTTGATTCCTAGAGGTAGGACGCGGCACTCTAGAGATGTCTACCTGTCCTGACCTAATAAATACTTTTCGTGTATAGTTGTTTTGGATTTTTTCAATTAATTCCTCGTCTTTCTTCTTATAAGGGCAAAAGACTGGCGTACCGCATTCCGCAATTGGCCTAACATATGTTTTGTATGCTTCTGATTAAAATTTCTTTGTCATTAACTGTCAAACCCTTAAATATTTGGTATGTTCGGAAAGTAGCTTTCCTGAGGATGGCATCGTAATGATCAGAAAAGCCAAGCTTGTTATCATAATGGAATCCTAGATCCTTGACAGTGGTGACTTCGTTGAGAACATGCATTGGTCTTTCCCTCCAAACATGTGAGTGGTTAGATTTTAATTTTTCCTTGTGAACAGAAAAGAATTTCCACCAATCCTCATAAAAATACCGGTCTTCTGTTCAAGGTGGTTAATTCACTTAAGGTAAGCCTCTCACCATAACTCCGACCACAGTGCGACTAGTTATGTCCAAAGACAACTATTGAATACGTACCAACACTATATACTGCTGAATACATATTCTATTTTCTCTATACAAGAATAATGATACCTTAGATAAATGTCAATCCGTTAAGAATCTGTTTGACAAAGATACACTCGAGAGAGCATTCTCTCTCCAAAAGCTCAGGCAGCTCGGCTGTATAGATTGCAAAGAGGAGTGGTGATAAAACACCACCTTGAGGGACCCCACTGCCAACTCCCTAACCTTTGAAAAGACTCCACCAATCCTAACCTGGAACGTTCTCCCTGACAGGAATTTCTCAATCCAACGATAAAAATAACACTCGTTAGGATGAAAGCGTGAATTGTACCAACGCGTTGAGCAATAGAAGCTTGGAATGGTCAACTTTATCAAAGGCCTTAGAGAAATCAAAATAGACAACATCGCAAGATTTTTTATCGTCAAGATAATTACTCCAATCATTAATACATTCCAGGAGATTGGTTTCGACAGACCTACCAGGGACGAACCCATGTTGATTGGCTGGTATAATACCATTTCTTTCCACATGCTCCACAATGTGTTCTTTAAGAATCTTCTCGAAAATACGGCAGAAAAAGGAAGTGATACTGACAGGTCTATAATTATCAACCAAGTGAGACGGCTCCTTCTTCAGTAACGGCGTAACAAATGAGTGCTTCCACCTTGAAGGAACCTCACCGAAACATAGCGACTGATTGAATAAATACGCTAAGGGTTCCGCTACAATATGCGCTATTTTCTTGACAAACAGAGGGGGAATAAAATCAGGAGTAAGTGAGAAGGAGTTGGGCAACTCCTTCAAGAGGGCATAAATTTTCCCGCCGTCAACCCACGGAAAGCTAGACATTGGACTAGTGACTGAGGAAACAAAAGTTGGTAAAGAACCATCTTTATTGGAAAACACTTCACAAAACTTGTCTGCCAAGAAGTTGACTTTGTCCTCATCTGAGGCTGCTATCGCCCCATCCTTTTGGAGGGAAGGGATTTTCTGAGTAGTTTTAATTTTCTTGTTCAGAAGTTTGAAAAAACCTTTCTTATCACCGCTGTTAAGGATCTTCCTCTCGACATACCTATTGTATTTTTTTAACATACCATCGAATCTTTGAGAAAAACAACGGAATTTGTCCCAGTCTCTAACTGATTGAGAGGTCTTAGCAGCATAGAACAAACAAGCGCGGTGATCATACATATTTTGAAGATAAGGGGGAAGGTAAGATTTGAACGCTAAAACACGTTTGATAGGAACAAACATATCTATAGCATGGTGCAAAATATTGAGAAACATTTCATATTTATCGTTTACCGAATTAGTAGATTCGAAAGAATCATGCATCCCAATGTCCCAACACCAAAACCCAGCGACGGCTGACGCGGCACACTAGTCACCGCCGCAATTGGGCGGACACACACACCCCTCTTTTTCAAAAATATCTTGCAAGGAGAGTTTCTAAAAAATTCATAGGTAGATGTACAATTCTGCGGAGTAATGTCATGTGGAAGAGGGTAGGTGGGTGGAGGGGAAGGGGGTGGGGAGGAAAGCGTTGTAGTGGAATGGAACTGCTTGCCATGCACACGGTCCAGCGTCAAATCTTAGGCCTGAGCCATTCAAGCCTTACCCCTTAAAGGCAAGATTCGGGATAAAATAGTGGAAAAGCGTTCAGTTATGAAGCTATAGGTGGGAGGTGGTCTGTAAAAGAGAAGGAAAGCAAACGAAACCACCGATTACGCCCCGTACAGAGACCTCCCCTATTTCAGCCACATTCCACCTTGGGATAGAGGAGTTTCACGAACCTAACTCTACTTGCTCCAGTGCCAATAACATTGGATCGCGCTGGGACCGCTGCCTCAAATGCGCCCGCGCTTTTCAAGCAGCGCCACGTGGCAACCGACAGCGAAGGGTGGGGCTTGCGGACGAAGGTGTGAGTTGCGGGTCGGACGAGCTCCTTGCGCCTTTGTCGCGCACTTTCAAGCGGCAAAAGGGGCGCGACATCAACACTTGTCCGCCTGCCTACTACCCCGGGATGGAAGGCGAGCGCGCCTAATCGCGGAGCGTGCCTTTCAAGGTCAGTTGACACCAGACTTGTCTAAAAGGATAAAAGCGCTGAATGCATCGGTTGGCTCCCACATGTAGCTGTATAGGCCAGGCAGTCTAAATGCTATGTCTAGGAGCAACACTAGGATGCGATTCCCACCGAGGTATAGATTGGCGCCGAATGCTTTAGCCTTCTTTATGTGGACAGTTATAATCAGCTGCTCAAGCGGATGACAGCGACTACAATAGGTTACCGAGCGGCTCGGAGGGGACGTAGGGGTGCTCTATGGCATGCCTGTGGCAAAGAAAGCAGAGAAATCCGTTACGTGAACGCACAACAAGACCCTCAACTTTGGCCGTTGATTTTCGCCCATGGACGAGCAAGGGGAGACAGCGGACGTGTGAAAGATTTTACATAACCTTGATAGCGCCATTCCAAGCTAGGCGCCCAATCAAGTTGCTCCAATTGTGCCGCCGCTGGTTACACAGCTACCTCAAACCACCAACTAAACCTGTGGGCGGAACCTTTCCAGAGGGGAGAGGAGCGCCTTTCAGGTACTGCTCAGCAATCACCCCACCTTTCGCGTGAAAGCACCACATCTCGCATTCTTAGCAGCCAGGCTACTGCTTGTAGTGCATATATGCCCTGCCTCAAAAAACCAGAAGAGCGTCGAATGCACCACAAAGCACAAGTGACGGCAGCCTCTACAAAATGCATACGCTGGCAATGAAATGGTAAAATGGTAAGAAAAAACTGAAGTTTGACTTGTTTTGTTTGTTAACTGCTGTTTTTGGCCGCAGTTCGCCTTGCGAATGTTTCACAAGAATGCTGGGTTGTGAACAAAACTTTCGCCCCAGGCGGGACTAGAACCCGCACCTCTCGCTTTCCGGGCAAGTGCGCTACCAGTTACGCTACCGGGGCACCATTTCATTCCAACTCAGCTTTTCATGGTATACGTACCATAGCTTTCAGCACTCACACGTATAACGTGTTGAGCCGGTTAGCCGATATCGGCAATGACCGCGAGGCTGAAAGCTTTAGCAATGAATTTTGACTTGTTTTGTTTGTTAACTGCTGTTTTAACGCCGCAGTTCGCGTTGCGAATGTTTCACAAGAATGCTGGGTTGTGAACAAAACTTTCGCCCCAGGCGGGACTAGAACCCGCACCTCTCGCTTTCCGGGCAAGTGCGCTACCAGTTACGCTACCGGGGCACCATTTCATTCCAACTCAGCTTTTCATGGTATACGTACCATAGCTTTCAGCACTCACACGTCTAACGTGTTGTAAAACTGAAGTTTTACGCTTAGGTAGATCCACCCGCGAGCCTTCGTACACAATTAGTGGGGTACAGTTCAAAACAGTGAAGGAAATCAGAGACCTAGGGTTCTTGATTCGAAGTGATCTCAGCTTTGATGAACACTGTTCGCAAATTGCACACAAAGCAACGGTGCTATTGTACAACTTGTTTAGGTCTTTCGTAACGAAAGATCCTAAGGCACTCTGTAAGGCCTACAAAACGTACATCAGGCCTATTCTAGAGTACGGTATATCACACACATAAAATAAAAAGCATCAAGGTATTAGAAAGAGTGCACAACACGGCAGTTGGTTTTAGGTATGACCAAAAACCGAACTGTGAAGCACGTAATGTCAATCCTCGATCTTGAGCCTTTAGATTTCAGAAGGAAAAAGTTTGATCTTATAATGCTTTTCAAGATTATTCACTATCGTTGTGCGCTTCGACATGATAATCTATTTCTAGTTAGAGAATCAATCACTAGGGGTGGGCCTATGAAGCTAGTCGCATGCCGAGCAAAGCGTAATGTCAGACGGCATTTCTTCGTGAATAGGACCATCATGGAGTTCAGACTGGTCCGTTTGGGAGTATCCACCTCCAAACTTAGTTCCTTCAAAGCCGCTTTAGACAAGTATCTCAATAAGTATCTCAAAACTTAATTCATCATTCCTCATGTCATTTCTCTCAAGTTGCATTGCTTATGTTTGTATGTTGTCTCGTGTGTGTTTGATTTTTGATATGTGTTTTTGAGGACTCTCACTTTTTCATATGTTTTTCTTACCACACCTAAACCTGTGTAATAAACAATTACAAAAAACCTGTTCTACTTGTATTCCTTCAGTTGTCACTAATTACACTCCCACTTACCAAATAGCTATAACTATGTACAAGATAGTTACAAGATTCACTTGGAGGCCGCCGTCACCTCTGTACCCGACGCTCTTCGTTTTTTGGAGCAGAGGGCACGTCCCCGATGCCCTCTTTATCGTGGTCGCTTTCAACTTTTGCGCTTTTGGGATATGCCTCTACGAAAGCTACAGAGGGAGAATGGAGCGGAACTGGCAATTTTTGATTGTCTCTTCGCCTGAGGCTGAATAAAATTCGAATCCATACATTTGAAGAACACGTCCATAGGTGTAGCGCCATACATCGGCATCGGCTTCCGGCAAAATTATCCGCAATTCGATTTTTATGTCTTCAAAAAAACATTCTTGAATTGTACACCACTCCATTGAACAAATCGTCAGGCGCCGCATTAATTAAAGCTGCATCAAGCCACTTGCACTGCCGTTCGCGATTGTCCTTCTGCAAAACAGAGTCTGTTGAGTGGCATTGCAAAATACACTCAACGGACTATGTGTACTGACAGCAATAATGGGTGTATGGAAAGAGAGAAAGACGTGAAGGGCTCTTCTTCCCATTTACTGCGCTTTCTTGCTTATGAATAGCCGTGCGTTCCTAATAACTTCCCGCACTCTCTTCTCTTCTCTGCCTTCAAGAGCAACACTTCATTTCCTCAGTTAGTGGAATCCTTACCGGAAAAATCGTGATTGTTTCCCAACTCATAAATCACGGCTTGGGACCCATCATGCACGATAAGAATGAAAAGAACAAAAATTACATTTGTTTCGGTAAACATTCGAAAATCGGAAGGGCTACTACGCGAACAAGTTACCGTGACATCTGTCACAAATACTACCGGCGAGTTTTTTTCCACATGGTTCTCTGAGTGCTTCTGACCTATTGACTTATTGCGTTAACTCACTCCATATCTTTTGTCTCTATTCTCTAAAATTTAACCCTTGAACCTGATTTTTAATGCGTCGCCTGATACGTAGCCGTCCAAAGGCGCACTTCTTTCCATGCCCCGCCTTTGGCTCCGCGCGACTTACCTTCGACTGTCCATAGAGTTTGGTTTCATTTGTTTGTTTCTCTTCGCAGACTGAATCTTTGTACGCTGTCTCGAGGGATCACAACTGACATACTAATGTTGTTTTTCGAGAAGAATTCCTCCAAGAGTTCAAGATTCGATATCAGTTGTGTTCCAAACCGTAGAAGTGGAAAGGCTTGTTTTCGTTTGAGTTTGAACAGTAGCTGTAAAAGAAAAAGGTGCTTTGACTTCGTTAGACGTCCTGTATTAATGATAGTTCATTAATATTCGTCATGAAATCGTAGGTGTTGGTAATGGCAAATTTAGCGACATGCTGAAACCGTTGAAAAGACAAATGGAGCAGACAAGTGGCGCACCGTGAAAAATAAGCGAAAGGACCAAAGTCCGAAAAAACAATACCGTTTTTTTTCCACCTGGTCCTGGAAAGGAACGGGTTCGCTTCTAATTTAAAGATCGTTAGTGTAAAGTTGAGCATTGGTATCATGCCCGCGACTGTAGAGAGCTGCTTCAATATTCTATGCAACAGCAAAGGAATTCGGAAAGGAAACCGAACACTGACGAAGGTTTAATTTCAAATACGTTGTCGTTCTCATTCCTTCTTGGTGCATGTGATGGAGAAGCTTTCGCCGCCTTTCCACGTCGTCGATAGCACGTTTTCTCCGTGAAAGCGTCACTCATCATCTCCTTAAGATAACACCCCCATATCGAATTTGCTGAGTCACAGTGGCACATTATGGAGTTGTGGATGGCGAATTGACTAGAAATAAAAAAAAACAAAGAAAACCGTCGATGAAGCCCTAAACGAAAATCCCTCTTGGAAAAGGAAGGGGCGGGGCCAGACGAGTTGTACAACTTGCCTGCTCCACGGCTCAACTAACCCGCGCATTTGAATTAGCCGCTACGCCGTAATCCACGTTGCGTGTCATGGGGTGTGCGTAACGCAGCTCGCCCAAATGCTCTCTTTCGCCATTGCGGCGCACTTTCGAGCCATGACAAAGACCCATCTGTGATTTGAGTGGGCTACTCTATCCCATCCACTGAACAAATTCTTCGACACAACTTCTGCTTTGAGTATTGCTGCAAACTCTTTTGTACCTTCTCCATAACTCCTCATTCTCTTTCGCGAAGATTCGTTTGTCGTGATTTTACTTTCAAAATAGTGCTGTTAAGGTGTTTCACACATTCGGCGTCCAGGGTCAAGGCTTCATCTTTCTAGACAGATCTGATGCTAACAAGGGAGGTCGTTCAGGCAAGGTGCGCTTTTTCAAAACGGTTTTTTTGCATATTGTAGGAACTCATGCGTGGACCACAAAACCATGTTTCGTTTTCGCTGAACGGTTCCCTGATAGCCAAAGCCAAAAAGTGTCGAAAAACTTCTTGAGAAATGGCGGTTTTTACAGCTTTGGAGTGACGTTTCGGACTTGTACAGAAGATCACCTGCATATTGAAGGGTGCTGAGAAAGATGGTATCAAAAACAAGGTGAAATTCGCCAAAAATTGAAGTACTGTCAGTGGTAGTGCTGGAAAAGTGAAGCGGTTTCATAAGCATCGTCGGCATCTATTCTTTCGCTCTGGTGGTCGAACGGGTAGGGAAATAGACTTGTAAGGCGTGGTTTTGGGGTTCGACTCCGTTCCAGTTCCATGGCAAAGCTTTTGCATTTTCGATTGTCACTTCCAAATGAGCGCCAAATTGCTTCAGCGTCAAATTTAACGCTATATTCACAATCAGGACCATCAGCAGCCCCTGCAAATGGGTTTTACTATCAAAAACTGGCAGAATAAATCTGCAGCGCCAAACTGGCGCCAAATGGCGCCGACGCCAAAAACGAACGCCATATCGTGATCAGCACCCTGATTTACCCCCACAGGCAAAATTTCGACGAAAAATCGAGATTTTGACCTAACTTCGAAAAAGGAGGTGACCATGGGCCACAGGTCGTCATGCACGCCGGCGGGCGACTTGAAGACGAGCGCTGCGCGGAAATCAAGCGGAACGCCTGATGATTCACGGAATCCAAAGCTCGATCTCATAGAGAACATCTCCCACCACGTCCCTGTCCTTGAAATCGCTCCAGCTATGGAGATGAGGCCTACGAGTGGAAGAGCCGAGGACCCAACATTTCACGTCTTGAAGGAGAGAGAATCTGTCGACTTCAACTCATGCGGGTGCTGCTTCCCATCACCAGCTTGGCTGCCTGCCACTATCTATTCTGTAGCGGAATTTCTTATTATTGGAGGAGTATCACGAGAAACATTTTCCAAGTCGCTGGCTGGAGTACCCCATGGGCTGACCGACCTGTCGATGGCCAATTTTTCGGAACTGGCTCAAAATCTCAATTTTTTCTAAAACTTCTACTTTAAGGAATATCTAATGCTCTGATCACGAATATGACATTTATTTTTCCAGACGGCTCCAATTTATGCCACTTCGGCACCATTTGGCGCCCTTCTGGTGTTACAACTTTTTTCCGCCATAATCCAGTTAAAATCTGAGTTAAATGATCACTGGTGGTTTTGAGTGATACCTATTTTTGCGCTGGTGCCATTTTGAGAAAATTTAAGAGCTCCAACCACAATGCAAAAATTTTGTCATCACGGGGATTGATCCTTCGGACCATTTCCTCTCCACTTTTTGGCCTTCTCGGAGCCGTTCAGCGAAAATGGACCTTGGTTCTGTAGTCCACGCATGAGTTCCTATAAAATGCAAAAAACCGTTTTGAAAAACCGCATCTTGCCCTCCCTTGTAGGTAATCCCTTGTAAGAAATAGGTCCCAAAATATTGGGAGGCTCTTTCGACGCAGTGAACTCTCAGAACTTTTAGCCCGTTACCTAGTCCGTCCAAAAAGATACCAGAGCTGGGCAAAAATTATGCAGAGAATCAGTAGCTTACAAACAAAAGGTAACTCATGGCCTTTGTGGCCACATTGCGAGAAAGGTAGAATGCCAGGAGTTGGTCATGCGACTCATTGTTTGTGAATCCTCCTCTGCTACCGCTAACTCTTTCACTTCATAACTCTTCCGAGATAAAAGACCAGGAAATTTTGAAGGTAAAATTGAGATGAATAGCCAGGTTGACCTGGTCCCTTTTTGTTTTCAGGACGGTTAGTGACCTTAGGAAGAAAGAAAATTATGCACGAAATGAGAGTAGCTGTAAAAGCTCATTTTCATCCCCGAATGTTTCTATTATATATCGGCTGAGGACTTGTGCCCCTTTCTTATCTGCTACCTTTGGCTGCACAATTATCTAGCTCATTGGATATTACAACCGCTTCATCTGTCATAAAAGAGAAGGCCGCAGAGATGTGTGGGCTAGTTTTTTTTTCGCCAGTGACTCACCACAAGTGTCCTGGAATTTATAGCGTTCAGCAGCAATGAGTGTTGCAGCTATTGCAGCACTCACGCAATGAATAATCAGGCCAACCAATTCCAGCTGCAGATTCAATCGCTCAAAGATTATCGTTTAGAGGATAATTAGAACATTTGTGCCGACAAAGCAGGAATCAGCGGATATATAATATATTCGAATGGATCTCACATTAAACCATCGGTAAGCTCTGTAACCATCGAGAACCAAGTAATAAGCGTAGCGGCTAATCAGCTTAAGCATTACTAACTTGAACACAGAATCAATTCAAATTCGGATGTTGTACCGTAGCTTGACCATAGCTGACCATTTGTACTGCTCCACTAGCTCATTCGATGTTCTTGGTCAAATCGTCGTCCATCCAGTGCGAGGATGTCCTAGTGTTTTTCGATTCACTCTATAGTGACCTGGTACACTGGTAAGGCATTTGAGAGTGAAATTCATAGTTAGAAATATGATACCATTTTGGTATCGTAGAGATAGGTATGATATCACATATCTTATGACTGGCTAGCCCAAATATTTAGAATGTCCGATAATTCTCAATGTTTGATCCTTCCTGGCAGGTCGGATGCTGATGAACCGGGCCAGAAGTGGTGGAAGATCTGGGTGACTCAGTTCTGAAATTCCTAAGTGTGGGGCGGTACTTCTTCCCTTTGCCCTGTTTAGACCCTTGAGTGAAAGTGCTGCTCGAAAGAAAAAGAAACTGGCCAAAATTACACAAGTAAACTAGTGCTATTTCCAACCATCAACGATTGAATGCGTTACAAATTTGCCAATACCCAGTAGTGATCGCGTGAGACAATTTCGAATAACTGATTTGAGATTTTTTGATTCCGTTGTTTTCCTTCTCCACGTCATGGTCGAGGTAATGGAGGCATTAATATTCCGCACATGTGGGATAGCAGGGGCATCCACCACCTTCATTTCAGCTCCACCACCTCCTCTTCTGTTCAACTTACAGGTTGCTTCCGCGAAGTTTCCCACGTCGTGGTGAATTTAAATTGGCTTCAAATTTTCATCGCAAATTAAAACTTCGATATCTTTTTTTTCTTGAACGTGACTTCTTTACGAATTGATGGTCAACCACCATGTAATGTGCACTCTTGATATGTTTTCACAGAGAAGGCAACATTCAGAGAAGGCCTAACCTTAACAGTTGTACGTAAATTATGCCACAAAAATCGAATTCGAGTGAGTGTCAATTTGAGTGTCCGGAGACATTCTGACAATTTCATTCATTCATTTATTACATGCTAAACGAAAATCATGACTCAATGGCTCTAGCTCACTCGATGGAGCTTATCTTCTGAGTTGCTTTTGTTTTAATCCTGTTGGTTTCATCTATCAATAAGAAGTCGAACGACCCGAAGACAGTATTTGGCTCTGGGCGTGAAAAGTGAATCGACGTCAGCAGCTTTCTCTGCGATCAATCACCTTTTCTTTCTCTACTGCTCACCTTTAGCGGAAGCATTGCACTACTAATGCAAGCAGCGTGGGAAGAGTGTTCTCAGGCCCTTCTTCTTATCGCAAAATTAAAGTGACCCGTCACATCCACGGTTCTGTTTGCTACTCTGTGGCCCTGAAACCTGAAAAAATAGGGACATGTTTAGAAGAAGCCCTTGGTACACTATTTGTTTTGGGTAGAGATTTTTTTTGCATTCACGTTGTTGAACTTCTCTCCAACCGATCACATAAAGGTGCAGCTCTGGAAACGCATCGTGCCTTGCGATACAATCGTTTGGCGTTTTGAGGCCCATTGGAGGCCAGATGGTTTAATGCTTTACTACGTTCAATGTCTGCTCCTAATGCGCCTCTGGTGTTCTATTGAGAACATCTGCGGAGTTGCCTCATTTCTGTAGAGGTGGTTCCCCTTCATCTCGTCAATTTTACTCAGCTAACTTACTTTCTGTATCCAATACTGTGACCATATCGAATGTCACCTCTTAATGTGATTGCACCGTCATGAGATCCTTGACGCTCCTCATCTTATTCGCTTCAGATTCACAAACTAGACTTTACGGCTCATTTGAACGATTCTTACAGAAAGCTAAAGAGAGATAGGAAGGCTGGGAGGGTCTGCTAAGACAAAAAACAAAGAAGAATAGAAAGGAAGTAGAGAAAAGAATGGGAAAGAGAATGCGTTATGATCGAAAACAGAAATGAAGAATAGGTAAATGAACAGACATCAACAATGAGAGGGGAATGCAGGGTGTGGTGAACAAGTAGAGAAATATTCAAGATGCGTTAAGGGTGTCGCATTTTGACCTCGTGGGCTCAACGTAGCATCCCAATATGTTTACTGCATCCAAATGGGAGTTGCGCTCAATAGCAGCATGGCACTTGAGGCCATGCATGAATGTAGTCGCATGTTCTAGAACGAAGTCATTTGACTACTCGTGAGACTGGGTCTTGTTGTGATTGAATGAATGAGCCACTGACAACACTCATGGACGAATTGCTAGAAAAGTCTCTAAAATAGGTAACCTGCGAAGTTTAAGACCTAAAGGTCATAGGCCTTCATATTAACTCTACTTTGCATTGAGATTGTCTCAACAAAGGCGAATAATGATAAAGACTGGTCTAAGTTCAGTCTCTGATAAAGTAATCGAAGTTAACTTGAAGCTCGAAGTAATGCGAAGCAACTTGTGGCTAAAACTTATCCTGGGTAATATATACAGCTGTGGTAAGAATCTGAGTCCCTTGTATTAACGATTATGTAGTTGCGCACGACTGGAAGGATGCATCTCAATTCTTTATCTTTTTCGGGGTCAGACGAACCACTGCCTGGCTGTTGACCTTCCAGTGATTCTGTTACCATAGAAGGATGAAGCGTAATGCTTCGTCTTGATTAATGCCTTACTGGGATGCGCTACTCGTTTTCCCTCCATCAAAGACTGTAGTTGCATTTGAATACCATTGAATTGATTGTAATAGCTTGGAACCTATACAATTCACAGATGAGGCTTTTATCTTCACACACAAATCTGACACCTCTTGATCAAGCTCGGATTTACGGGACGTGTTTGACCTGCGTGCGTAGTAATAGGCTTCAACCTTTATGCTCTACACCACTTTGGCTTCACAAATGTTAGGGGTTTAGCGTCGTACCCTTTTCTCTGAGATCAAATTTCCGGTGGAATTTTCCAATCGTATTTTTGAATTTTTGGTTAGAGTGTATGTCTCTAGGGTTTTCAGAAGGAGTCGTCATGGAGGGAAAAGTACGAGTCGACAAAGACGTGACGTGTTGCTGTTTTCGGAGCAGCGATATCAATTTTTGAGGAACATAGGGGGGGGGAGGGGGAACTAGAGTGCCTCAAGTGGTGGCAGGTGCAACGGCGCTTTCAACCGACGTCATCGCCACCACCAAAATCATAAGCATTCAGAAGTGGTCGTATGTGAAGCCTGCTCTAGGGTGTAGCTGTGAAAAATATGGAAGTCGATACTACGTGAATGTTGACCCTTTTCCTCGATATTGAGAGCCAATAGTCATTTCGAAGAACATAAGAGCATACAATTCTCTTAGGCAACTTCCTTCTATATTTAATATATACAACTAGAAAAAATCGGAAATTTGTGGGATGAACTATTAGGTACCGGATATCTTAGTGTCGCTTTTCTGAGTTCAGGAAGTTTTGGGGCCGATTACTATGGAAAATCAATATCTCAGAAAGTCCTTTTTGCTCATTAATACTGCGAAATATGTTGCTTATTGTTTTCTATTGTTGGTTCACAATTTAACTTTCCCCCAATTTTTATACTTTTTTTGAAAATTCCTGGGTCCAGTGTGCAAATTCGCATGTACCAAATGCTTCAAAATTCTTGCTGAGAGCTACAACTTCCGCCCACCAAACCAACATTGCATTTGTTGGAGGGAATACTACCATTTAAAATGCTCATCGGTTTTTCACAGTTTTCTCAAAAGACAGTGAAGTCTTTGAAGTGATGCCCGCAATCGTCGTCAAAAAGGTGGCCCTAGTTAAATCAGTCGAGACGGGGCTGCACCAGTCTTGTGCTGAAATGGTAGGACACCTTAGCAGTGACTGATCGATGATGCACAAACGCTTTAACGAAGTTGATTGCACAAGAAATTCTAATAAATGTGCTCATCTGCTACTCACGTGTGCTCAAAAAGGGTGCGTTTTTGACCCTATGTGGCAAAAAAGACTCCGGGAAAAATTGTCCAGTTGAGCTGGTAAGTAATAAATTTTCCACCATACAGTGCAGACCCTACTCTAACTAACTGTATACTTTTGTCCAGGCCTAACTTTTAGCAAGTGAGAGGGATGATTTGTCAGATGATGTCAAAACCGACCTACCTCTCTTTTCGACTCAAAAAATTCCTAGCTTTAATCGTACGAGGTTTCCACTCATACTGGTAAATGGGAAAGTGCTAATGAGTCATTCGATGAATATGCTGTTTCACTCCCCGGATTCTGAATTAAAATATTGGTGGTCCGAAACTCGTGGTGAAAAAACGACACTAAGATATCCGGTACCTAATACTATTATGGAATGTAAATTCCATTGCCCAACATATTCGAAGCCCTAAAAATACTCTCCATGCGTTGTTTCTAACCATTACTATTATTATATGTGTGTTTCAGCATATTTGTTGATATGACTCGTAAAATAAAGTGAAGCTTATCAACCTCCACGCTCGAGGGCGGGGCTTTGCTCTCTCGCATTTCTTTTTAACACTTGCGAAGCTTAACCCTTCGCACTTTTTCCATCTTGACGTTGCAGTTCTGATAACAGTATTATCTTAATGAGTAAAATGAAGAATCGAAAGTTCTTGACGTCCTGCAGGGTTGCATTTTGTGAATTGTAAACGTATTATGCTTTCTCCTCGTCTTCTTACTATGAAGTCGATTTAAATTTGCAGGGCTCATCATGACGAAAGACGTTGATGTCACAAAGGTTGGAAGGAAGCCAGGACTCGATGTATGGAGAGTAAAGGTAATCTTTTTGAGAAGTGCTTAACTGTCAATTAAGCATGAAAATCACGTTGCTATCACAAATAATGAATGGTCAGTAATATAGTTGGGAATCACGTGCTTTTCATCATTTTTGAAGCAGTCTATTTGGTCAGGGGCTTGCCTACTGTGCCATGGCAAGCTCTAAGAGACGAGGGGTATCTATTCCTGGCATGCTGAATTTTCGCTTATAAATAAACAAATATTTATATATTATACATATTTTATCTCGGCAGTTATGCGTGAAAATTGTGTCACTAGTGAAAAGAAGTATACAGGTGTCACTCTGTTAATGCCAGTCAGAATTATAAAGCGTCCGCTGCTAGGTACGCTTTTTTGCAACGAGCCCTGCGGTGTATTCCCTCAAGAATCATGAGAATCAAGATTCCAAATGCACTATAGAGATATTCACGGAGGCTAGCACATGTGCAAGCCAGTCTTTCTGATTTTCCTCTTGGATGTGCAGGTAACAATTACCAACCTGAGATGGAAGGATAGCTTGGTTGGCTTGACCACGATTGATCGTCGGATTAAGGGACGCCCCACTTCGGCCCTTGTAATGTTTCTGGTCCATTTGAACAACAGACTTTTGCTCTTTTTCTTTTCATCGGGATGCCTAAAAAGCTCAAGCAGCATCTATCTGGGTTGAAGACGACCTACTTGCCTCAGCTTTCACTATTTACAGCACAATAGCAAAAAGTCGTGGTGTGAACCCATGTGGCAACTATGATTCACCTTGTGTAAAGTTGTTTTCGTTTTTGTTTTATGTGAAACATCCGATGGTCAGTGCCAGCTGCTGTCTGTGGTGGTTCAGTTTTGAAGTGAAAACCTTGACTGAGGACTTTTCAAAGCGGTTACTTGCCATGTTACAAGCGTAGCTTTGAGCAAGAAATAACAGGTTGGCAAACAAAACTACTGCTGCGTCGACAGCGGTATAAGATGAGCCAATAGCTTTGGGGCAGGAACTATTATTCTGTACCATAATTGATGACCACCAGTGTCCGTAAGCATGTTTGTTTATTCTAGCCGATCATTCGAAGAGTAAGCATAGTTTAATACCACGTAGAACATCAATCTCGGAGGTTTTCGAGTAAATTGTTGTGATAAGCTCGAACAGCCGCTTACTCGGAGGAAATTCTCTCGTATCATTTCTCATACCCGTCAGGACTCTAGAGCGGATCATGGGGCGAGGAATCGTTGGGATCGAGGGGTATCGCATTTGACCTATCAAAAACGGTGGTCCAATGTGTGGAGGGATCAAATATGAACTGTGCAGTTTTCAACATTGAAGGTCCTTGGTTCGAAGTGCTCTTGTGTAGCGTTGTATAAAGCAGAGGAGTAGAAGACTCAATGAATGGCACTTTCTCGACTTTAGGCACTGAGTTAGTTATACTCTGCTTCTCTGCCGGCTCCTTTATTCACACACATTACTTTTGAAGTCTGCCCTATTCCGCTATCGACGATGTAAGTTTCGAGCATAAAAATAAGGACATTCTTATATTCTAATTTTCGCGATATCTATTGATAACAGGATGGCCAGCGTTCCGAGTTGCTTTGTGCTGCAGTTAGTGTCGAATTTGAGCGAAGAATTCAAAAACGTTAGCGAAACTCTAGTTCAAGCCATCGGCTCACCCAGACGGTTGAACACTTGTTTGTATGAATTGAATGCAAAAAGGCACCAAATAATATTCGAGCCATTTGATAGGGCGATTTGATTGTGTCTTCTGGAATGTGTACTGGGAGGAGTCAGTTCTATTCAGACTATTTTACTACACTATATGACGACTGGGATAACTATTATACATACGATGGCAACTGCAGGGCGTCCCATAAATATTGCACCTTGCCCTTGAATTGCAAATTCTCTCAAAATGGATGTATTCTCAAGTGATTACGCACATCATTGATCTTTAGCAAAACATTAATATATTTGAAGATATGAAATTTAGTTTGTATGTCCTCTAACTCTATGAGTGTGTCTCCCAGTTGCTGCGAACACAACTTCTTCGTGGCACATAACTGGAAAGAAAGCTTCAGCTCCTCTATGTGGAATCTTGGGGTTAGATTCTTATGGAGACCCAGATGGTGCACGAAAATAGGGTAACTATACAGGGGTGGCCAAAAAAAAGAGACACTTGACTCCACATTTCAGACAGCATTAATCACACTTTGCTAGAATCAAATCGACTGCCCCAACTCAGTATTGAAGAGCACATTCTAATCTATCTAAACTTACATGACAGCCTTCTACACCGACGACATCAGAAGATTTTCCCACGGAAACATGGTTCGCGGTACGAGCTCAACGAGGTCGTCGAGGTACCATAGACCATTACGACGTCCCTGAAACGCTGGTCAAAAGCGGTTTTGCATAGTCACAGCTAATGTCTCGAAAAGTCGTCAATCCATTGAAGAAATTATGAAGCAGCTTCAGGCCGGAGCGATTACGGTAAGCCTCGTTGAGCTCGACGGTGGCGGCAGATGACGTCATATTCTGAAGACGGCGGGGCAGTGAAGGAGGGCCTGCTTCTGTTTACGGGGGAACACCTAAGGAATATTTCGCCGTAAAACTTTCATTAACATCGGCACCCTGTGCGACGAAAAGTTCGATGATGTGCGCCATGGGCAAAGTGTCTCTTTTTTTTGGCCACCCCTGTATAGGTCTCGGAATGGATTTTTAGTCCCTTTCTGGCCGTCTTAGTGAGGAACCAGTAGTTGAGATCCCTGTTCAGACTATGGTAGCAGTTAGTTGATTCTTGTAAAGAATATTAATTACTATTGCACCCGCTTCCTCAGGATATGCGAGCAAGTTTAGAATTGCGGCTTCGCATCGCAACGGCTATTTTCTCGTAGATGAGGTTTTTTCTCGCCTTTCCAAGTCATTGGCATCACTTCTTCAGACTTTTTTTCTCTATTCTACTTCTCTGCGCAGACTATAATCGATTGTGAGCAGATCTTTTATGACCACTTTCCACATGATTGGGTTCTGAAACTCAAGCCTTCTGATAACCTGTTTCAAGTTTACCCTGGTATTGCAGTCGTTTCGCTTCTTCATGCTTTTCCTGAGATCCAAGATAGCAGAACTTACTGGGCGGCCGCAACAAAGACTATTTTTATTGATCTTCCCTTCAGTGCACAGAAGGCCGCGGAACGACTAAGATTCCAAGGAAGGGCAGTGATCTTCAACGTATGCCCAACTACCTGAAGGAGGGATTAGGTCCCATAGATGCTGAGATTTAGGCGCGCTGTGAAACGAAGAGGGAACGATAAACCCCGTGGAAATCAAGAGGTCATATCGAGAGAATATGGGAAATGATGATTTGTCGACCTTGGGAAAAAAACTATTGACATCCACAGACTGATGCTCAAAATGTGGTGCGATAGTTGTGGGACATGTACTACGGAACATCGATTTCTTGGTTCATGTTTCCGCAAGGGCTTTTCCAATCAGTGTGTGTTCAAACACTGAAAGGGAGCCATAAATTTCAAGCAATAGCCCAACTTCGCAGGATTTGCTTCAGAATTTACCATTAGACCAAGAGATGGATTTCTTCGTGCCGGGAATCAGTGAAACTTTCAGCGGATCAACGAGGAATCAATAATCAAGGAAGAACATAAAAGACGTCATTGTACGCATAAATAAGGCGTCATTGTACGCATAAATAA